CAACTAGTAGTTATAGGTAAAACATTAATTTCAAATAGTAATAAACTAAAACCAAAATCAGACTTCTAAAAGAGCTGTTCGGAGTAAAAACTGACAAGCAGCTTCATTGAGTGCATTTTAATTGGTAACACCATTGCAATGACATAAATCATGTGTGTTTAGAATTCCTTTGGGAGTCAGTGACTACAATTGCAATTAATAGCAAAATGGCACAAACAGAACTGAATGAGTCATTCAAAAAAGACATTAACGACACTTACAACACTTAATAAAAAGAAAATGTCTGTCTGGAAGATATGTGCAGATATGTTAAACATTGCTTGTCAAAAGATATTTGTTATGAAATTGATACATCTGCAACATTTTTACATAATTAAGTGTCCCAAGACTTTTTGTGAACACTGTATATACAGCATCATAAAAAAAAATTGTTTCTCAAATATATGTGTTACTCTCCTGTGTGGTTTTAGGGACATGGAAATTAACTAGATCAGGAAGTAGAAAGATACCATCTAGATATATAGTAGTTGACCTCACCTCAACGCAGATAAGGGCCAAACTAGAGTGACCATATTTTACTTCGCAAAAAAGAGGACACCAGACACAGGGTGCAAAGAGAGGCACTACAAATATGCACACTGAAAGTATTCTGACTGTAGAAAGCAAATGTCAACATGACAAAAAGTGAAATCCTGCCCAATTAAAGCATTTTTAAGACCCAAAAAAATAGGACAAGTCTGAGAAAAAGAGGACGCATGGTCACCCTAGGCTAGACCTTAATCTACTCTGGAGTCGCCTTGGGTGAGAGGTGTCCAGCAAATGTGGGTTTATTCATAACCACTTGTTCCTTGCTTATACAGGAGCTCCCTATGGTGAACGAGTGGGTTGCCTCATTTCGATTAAGTAATATTACTAGCATGGACTGAAAAAAATGCAATTAACTGCATAGTCCAAACAAGCTTATACTCTAAACAATGTGTAGAGTTTATTGGCACACAAAGATTAGCGTTACACTATCCACCCATTCACGATCTGCCAGTTTAAGGGTATCAGGATAAAGGCTAAATATTTAACAAACATGGCAGCAAAGGGATCACTCTGATCTACTGCAGCGGTTCAGAGTTTGCTGGAAATTTTGAGTAACTAGAGTATCCAGGAACAACTGGATGCAACACACAAAAAATCCAAGATATTTGGAAAAATACGGGAATATCTTCTTACACATGCAGCATAATTAAATGAAAATTGCTGCATTGCAAATTCAATAAATTTGAAAGAGGGCTGTGTGTCATTGTGCCCAAAACAATTCAAATAAGACACAAAATAAGGACATTAACATGAACTCCATTGTACTGTGTGCAGCACTTCTCTTCCTATGTTTTCTTCAACACAAAAAGTCACACGATAATGATGAAAATGTGCTCAGGTCAGAATCATTAAGCACAATGTGACCGCAGACCAGTGAGGGAAGTGGAGAGGGGAGACTATTGTGCTCAGACAGGGTACAAGACATCCAGGCCAAGTGTGCGTACGTCCTGAATCTAGCCTAATGGTAATACATTTGTATATACTAATATATTTCTATAAACTATTGTGTTATATAACACATATAATTATTCACATGCATTTTTTATTGTAACACTTATTTCTAAATGTGTAATATATGTAGAAAGTAAAGTTTTAGCCAGCCGGGGATCGGACCGCCAGGGCCTCCCTTGGCCGCCACCCGATCCACAAAGCACCGAACCCCTGACATTCCCCCTGCGGGTGGTGGGCCCACCTGGGGACAGTCCCGCGTGCCTCTTTCGGGCTGTGCCCGGCCGGTTGCTGCCAGGTAAGCTGAAAAAGTATAATAACAAAGTCCCGTTTCCCTCGCCCGGACTAGGGTCACCGGGGCCCCACCCTGGAGCCAGGCCTGGGGGAGGGGCCCGTTGGCTATCAAAATTTATTTAATTTTTTTTAAATTTTTTTTCTATTATGTCCAGCAAAACTTCCACCACATTCTCAGTGAAATTCTGCTTTTCCCCATGCACTTTGTTTTTTTTTTTACTTTATTGCTTAATAGCAAAATACAGTTACAAAATCACAATACAAGTGTATAGTGCAATATATCACAAACAGGAATAAGGAGATAAGGGTATACTGTATGTCTCTTCACAGTTTCCAGTTATGATGGAACACGGGAGTATACCCATACATGGTTTCTTTATTTAAATTAGTGTTACTGTGCATGTGTAGTCACATTTAGAATATGTGAGATTCAGAAACGTTCACTTTGTATGGCTGTTTGTAGGCAAGAGTGATAAAATAAACAATTTGCCGCACACTTTTAGGAACTCTTCTAAGCTGATAAATAAGTCCCCAGGTTTCGAACACCACATTCCAAAGTGTCAGCTTCCCAACAACCAGACATTTGTGAACAGCAAAATACAGTGACAATATAATCAGAGTTAGATAAAGCAAACATGTATGTGTAAGCCTTTAAAAACATATGTTTTATTATAATTACAATTAAAAGTGAAATGTCAACTACAGTCTTTGCAATGATTATGAGTATGCTGACAAATTACTAAAATGAAATGTGGCACTTTGTTTGTATTACAGTCAGTTGGTTGGCAAGACGTTACCTTTGCATTATGGTACACATGGAGCATATACATAGTAGCACACTACAATTTGAAATGCATTGTGGGTATTCTATGGTGCACTACACTGGAATTTACCATTGAGAATTTCAACAACAGATTCCAGCAGAACTACAAAATGGCAGATGCACTATTCTGATAATATGCAGAGATTTTGAACACAGCCTGTGTGCAGTCTACGCAGACATTTACATCACAGAAGATTCCCATCGTGTGTCTGAATCTTTTAGCCAGGCCTCAAGGGGGCTGCTGCTTACCCTGTCCATTGGCCGTGGGTCACACTGCTCACATAGATAGTGCTCCACCTCGGCCTCCACACGCATGCAGTCGCAGTGCTGCCATACCTAAAATGGGGGCACCAGCAGATGGTTACTCTGCACCACCTCAACCACAAGCTCTATCTTTATCCTGGACAGGATAAAGTTAATTCAGTTAAAGCAAGACTAAAATGTAAACCCCTAATTAGGCTTGGATGTGCTGACGTTGCCAGTGCCATGTTTCTTTTCAGTCTAAACCCAGGCTATGGTCACAGAGGCATCATATCTAGTGTGTATGATGTAGGCTCCTTACCAAGCATTTCTCACACTGGATCATAAGGCCCTCGTCTTTGTACATCCCGCAGATGCAGCGGATGACATCTTCGTCCTTGTCGTGGGGGCCTGATGCCCCGCCCCCGTGCTGGTGGCTGGTGTTGCCATGGTCCCGGTCCAGGGAGTCGGAGCTGTCAGCCTCACTGGCCGTCTCCCCCATGATCTCGTCAATCTGCACAGCAGCCTCGTGGCGCGCCCCATAGTAAGCCTTACGCAGTCGGCACACATCCCGGCCAATGGCTGACTTTCTCCCATAGAACTTCTGCAAGACGAAGTGTGGAATAAATGGATTACGGACCAGACTGGTTTGATGCTCACTCGCCTCCCAACAGTAGATAATGACCAAAGTTACATCCACCTGCCAGTCTGGATTAGATTATAACATTTGGGATAATTGAGTTAGCAGGGTGGACACAGGGGGATCTTTCAATAATTGCAATAATTGCTGGTTGCACCAGAGCTTGATTAAGCCACGTTTTAAGTTAGCTGTCTATTCAGACTTCTATACTGCGCTTTTTGACCAGTCCTGCGCTACAACATTTGTCATCAGTTTTCAAAAGTGCTGACAAGTGCTTTGGGCTCTTTGTGAGAAGCTGGTGGTGAGGGTTATATTTACAAAGGCCCTCACTTGCAAGCAAGTGTAAATTCATTCCAAACAGTGAAACTCACTCATCAAACTCACATCCAAATAAAGGAGTGCAGGCTCTCAGAAAAATATTATCAGTGTGAAAACCAACCTCTGCATTTCGAAACACTTTGAGCATGTCAGTGTCAAAGGCTTCCACAGTTTTGTAGTGTCCTGTGAGGATTTGCTTCTCAATGGTACTAAGGTCCAGCGGGTCTGACACTTTCTCATAGTACTGTGCATTCCTAAAACACATAAAATGCACCCAGAACATTATGATACACAACCAATAACAGAGACGCCAACCCCATAGTCTAATTCTACATCACAGGAAAGCCCAGATATATACATGTACATCACATATACATCACAGTTACACACATATTCAGGAATGTAACTCACCGTTTCCTAGAGGGCAGAGTGAGCAATGGAGCAGCAAGCATCTGATTGGTTGAGTCTAGAGAGAGAGCGAAAGTCCATCAGTCAGGGCCGGAATCCTTGATCGTCATTAAGTCATAATAATATCAAATAATAATAAATAATAATAATAATGAAACTAATGTTATGTAACAAGCTACACAACATTTACATATCTTGTCATATCTTTATACATCTTCATAGAGAAAATGGTCGCTAACAGAAATAGAATGTTACACAGCCCTCTTGAAATGAAGGTGACTGGATTTCCTTGGTGTTCCTGCCAAGTCAGGTCTGAATTAAACCTTTCCTACAAAATAAAAAACACACAAATCACTGGCCAAAAGAGGTGCTAATGAAAGGTTAGCATCAGGGAAACCACAGCCTCCAAATACACACTGCTGCCCATCTCAAGCTTGCTAAAGACAACCTTGAAATTCCATTGCACTGCTACAGCAATATCATAAATACATACAAAGTGAGGTTTTTGCTAAATGCACTGCACTGTACTGTAAAGTCCAATCCCATCGAAAAGCTGTAGTGTAATCTGAATCAGGCTGTTCAAGCAAGACCTCCTGAAAATATAAATAAAATGAAACAATTTCGTACTGTATAGCTCATATATTGATGAGGTTTGTCAATAAAGGTTCCACTAGTTACTAAACATACTTTTCCGCATCAGTTATCTTATTGTATAACCTATTTTTAAATAAAGATATGGCTGTGTAAGATGTGGGCTAGGACTGTGACGGGAAGCTTGCTGGTTCAAGTTCAAGGGTCAGTTGAGGAAATTCAACATTGGGCCCCCAATCATAACTGCTCCAGGGATTGGTTGACTCTGCTTTCTCAAAAATGCATGTCGCTTTGGGTAGATGAATGAATGAGAGAATGAATCAATGAATGAATGAGAAATGTTATGGTTTAGATCAGCATGCTATCACTGCACGTGAAGTTGGATGAGGGACCACTCAAAAGAGATGCAGTACTGAGAGTACATGTAAATAGATTTACTTCATTAGCTTAACAATGTTAACATAAATATGGTCTTAGGTTACCAAAATGTATCATAATGTAAAGGTCCATTTAGACTGAAAAAAACTGCTGCAAAAAGATACTTTTTAATAATAATAATTTTTAATAATCCAAAATCCAATTAACCTACTCCTATCATATCTTAGCTAATACGATACAAACAAGATACAGCTGCCTAACATATTAATCTGTGTATGGTCCTATCTGATAATGCCTGGGCAACTCTTCTCTATTAGAGGCCCAGATACAAGATTCACCATGTCAGCAAGGCCATTTTTAAACAATTATTTTCATGTCCCCATACCTCTAATTGTATGTGGTGTTTAATCATAATTTTTAAAAGAATAATAATTAGTTGAAAAAATATTTTTGATCAGTAATTTTTTAATTAATTACTAGACATTTCATGGGACCCCATTTGAATTTCATGCAACCCCACAAGGGATCGCGACCCCAAGGTTGAAAAACACTGGTTTAGATGAAGATCACATTTTATAGGCTATTCCTGCAAAAATCCATACATTTAAAATTGTTGGCAAACTATTTCTCACTATAGTACCTAAAACACCCCTGACTGCAATCTGACATGGATCTCTCAAATAAAAAAATGCATGGGGATGCACAGGAGGGTATTCGCAGCTGCATGTAGTCCTTGCGTGGCCCCGTCTCCCAGGATGAGCAGGAAAGCGCACAGTAGGCAGGAGAAGCTGCAGGGGCAGGCGGGGCAGGCGGGGCACGCACCCTTGTAGCTGATGATCATGTCAGAGATCTCCTTGAGGATGTGCGCCAAGCGGGCAGTGCGTGTCACTTCTGTGTTTTCCTCAGCAGCAGCCAGCCTCCGCGTGCGCACCGACCGTGACGTTTGCAGTGCTGAAAACTGCGTCAGGAACACATCTGGAATGCACAATCCAGCCGGTGAACATACACAGATGAAAGCACATGCACAGCTATATACAACCAATAGTGTCAAATACATATCCTACATATACAGCAGCACAGATGACACATCTTCACACCCTAAATGCACCCTGACACACAAGCACACGCATATACTGTGTATGTATACAGTACTCAGCAGACTGTACAAAGATAGCTCCAATGTCTTGATAAATCGTTTTGGACAATCAATTACACAACAGCTCTTTCCCATTTTAGATGCTTTTGTGGCATTGAAGCTGAACGCAGTCTTTTTGCCACTCAGTTGGCGTAACCAGAGTATATTCCGCCTAGTGTGACTGTGTTGCTTAACTCAGCAAAAATACTGCAGATTTATTAGCTTATTCATTTGTTTACAAAATATACAGTTTCCTCCACAATTATTGGCACCCCTTGAAAAGATTTGTGAAAAGGGGTAGAAAAAAAACATTGTTTGGCCTCAAGTCACACTGAAAAAAATTAGAAAAATCCAACCTTTCATTGACGCCAGCATTTAATGCTTTGTACAACCTCCCTTTGCCAGTATAAAAGCACTGAGTCTATATAAGGCTGGATAGTAAAGAGCAGGGCATCTAAGACCATTCCTTTTCACAGAATCTCTCCAGATCATCCAGGGTCCTAACCATTTTTGTGTTGATTTGGACATGTGCTTAGTATCACTGTCCGACTGGAAGATCCAATGACAACCCAGTTTTCGTTTCCTGGCAGCAGCAGCCAATTTTTGATTTAAAATGTCCTGGTATTTCATGGAATCCATAGTGCCATGTACCCTAACAAGGTTTCCAGGGCCTTTGGAGGAAAAACAGCCCCACAACATCACAGAATCTCCACCATATTTTACAGTTGGGAAGAGGTTCTTTTCATTATAGCCATCCTTCTTTTTACGCCAAACCCACCTTGAATGTTTATTGCCAAAAAGCTCCATTTTTCTTTCATCAGACCATTGAATTTGGTTCCAGTCAAAGTTGCAGTAGCGTTACACAAACTCCAGGTGCTTATGTTTGTGGTTAACTGTGAGACATGGCTTCTTTGTTAAATACCTTCCAAATAATCTGTTGGCTTGAAGATGGCATCTGATGGTTTTTTCGGAGACATGGTAGCCCCAAGATATTACTTGGTCTTGTAATTCACCAAGTGATCCTTGGGTTTTTTTTTTTGCCTCTCCCTGACATATGAAGGCCAACACACTTCTCCCTCATTTGGTTTGTATGTTCTCTTATCTTTCCTACATTGATGGATGACTAAGGGAATTTTAGCTCTGTCACCTCATGTTTTCAAGAATTATTTCTTGAAGGGTTTGTTTTTCTTTGAGTACATTTATTTCAATGAAAGGTTGGATTTTCCAATTTTTTTTCAGTGGGAGATGAAGCTACTTCACTGAAAGGCAGATTTTTTCTAACCCTTTTTACAAATCTTTACAAGGGGTGCCAATAATTGTGGAGGGCGCTGTATATTAGAAACA